CCCAAAATATTCTTAGAGAATTTGTACAGTGAGAAAAAAAAAGAAGCCCATGTGGTGGAAAAGACTGGACTGTAGCAGAGGATGGTTTCACTCCATTTACCTCTGGGCTCTGGGCCCAGCGTGTTTCCACTGCATTACTCTGCTGCCTGTGCCTCTGTCACAACAAAAATCTTGATCTTCAGAGTCATAGGGAAAAAAACTGCCACATGGCACCCTGTGGCACAGAGAGGGGATTATTTCAAACCTGACTTAAGCCTGGGGTCCTTAAACCATATAAAGCAATCATTGAGGGAGGCCTCTAACCCTGCTGATAGTGATTGGAGGCTCTCTAGAGTAAGAAATTTATAATGGACACGGGGAGAAAACAACCACAAAAAACCCTAAAGCAAAGATCCAGAATTTAACCCAATTGGAAATTCATAATTTGCTAAAAGAATTTATATAATAAAAAGATAAAAGGGTGCTGATTGGCTTTTGTGCCTCTACAATATAGATTCTGAATTAACTTGAACATCTGCTGAAATGCCCTAGTTGGTAAACCTTGATGACCTTAATCAATAGTAGGGCTCAAATTATACTTATATCTGAAGATTCCACTAAATTTAAACATGGTACTTTGTATAATATTGGAGTTACTGAATGTAAAATAGAGGCCAAATAGGTATGCTTCACTTTAACCCTCAGAACTATTGGCTTGCCATGTGAGGGTATTATGCAAAATGAAATAAGTCAGAGGGAGAAGGTCAAATACCGTATGATTTCCCTCATTAAGTAGTAGATAATAACAACAATAAACAACACATAGAGACAGAGGTTGGATTGGTGGTTACCAGAGGGGAAGCGGGGAGGGAGGAGGTCAAAAGGGATAATTCGGCACATGTGTGTGGTGATGGGTTCTAATTAGTATTTGGGTGGTGAACGTGATGTAATCTATGCAGAAATAGAAGTAAAATGATGTACACCTGAAATTTATACAATGTTATAAACCAAGGTTACTGCAATAAAAAGTTAAAAAAAATTAATTAATGATATTTTATCAATAGAATATGATTTCTAATAGCTACCTTCCTCGTGTTTATAGTTTTTACCCATTTAGGAGTGAAAATAAATTAACATGGTTAACAGAAAAAAAAAAAAAAAAAGAACTATTGGCTTGCCTAAATTCCCCATGGTCATAGTACCCATTGTCTTGAAATATCCCATAGTGGGCATGGATGCTCTGAATCAATGAGTAATAAAATTAAATCAGTCTTTGGCGCTTACAACTTGGCTTGACAAAATGGGACCCCGTGGACCCCCCCCAATTAAAATGGTTAATGGAGCCAATGTAAATGAAAGCAGGGCCTTTAAGAACTGAAATTTCTTCTGTAAAACATAAACTGAAGGAGTGATTCTCACCACTGCATCTCCATTTAACAACCCAAGTTGGCCTCTTCTTAAACCTGGAAAGAGGAGCCGGTGGCATGGTGGTTAAGTTTGCGTGCTCTACTTCGGCGGCCTGGGGTTTGCAGGTTCGGATCCTGGGTGCAGACCTGCACACTGCTCATCAAGCCATGCTGTGATGGCATCCTACGTACAAAATAGAGGAAGATTGGCAACAGATGTTAGCTCAGGGCCACTATTCCTCACTCACACACACAAAATACTTGGAAAGAATGAAGGGTGCCTCGTGGTGGATTACTGAAACCTTAATGCCCTGGTCCCACCCCTGGAGGCCACCATACCCAATATCCAATGTTATTGAAATTACTGACTTTATCCAATCAGCAACTGGTAAATAATTTGCTATTGTGTATTTCGCTAATATGTTCTGTTCAGTGCCTATTTCAACAGCCTCTCAGCTGTAGTTTGCCTTCACTTCCGAAGGGACACAGTACACCTCTACCAAGCTATCCATGGGATACCTCAGTAGCCTTGTTGTCACGCAAATCTTTGTAGGTAAGATCTTAACTGCATCCAGATTTCTCCAAGAGCACAGGTATGACATTACGTTGATGACACCCTTCTCTGGGAAGATACATTTGACATACTCCTTAATTAAGGACATGCAAATATGGGAAAAGGGCTCGCAAAAAGGCCACCACACACAGTGCAAGACCCTGCCACCTCTGTTAAATTCTTGAAAATTACTTAGTAAACTAAGGGCCATTCCATCCTGACACTGTCAAGAAACAACTATCGACCTTCCTCGTACCTGCTATGTTAACGTTGTTAAATCCAGAATCTTTTAGTAGTCTTTGGGATCTGGAGGCAATGTATTCCTGATTTACTTAATTTCACTGATGCTATTACTTGCAAATCAGCCCACTTTGAGTGCAGTTCCCTTCAACAAAAGGCTCCAGAATCTGTCCAAAATGGAATACAATGGGCATCCCATTAGTGCCCTCAGAGACTCCTTTACTACAGGGACTTTGGCAACCTCCTCTCATGTCTTGTGATGGCCATAAATTGCCCATGAGCTTCTGATGCAAGAAGTGCCTTCTTTGGCATTGCACCATATACCATTAGAGCAGCAATTGCTGGCCACGTACTGGGTTCTCTGGGAAGTAGAGGCTCTTATAGGTCCTGAGCTTGTGACCCTCCAAACCCAGCTGCCCATTATGCCTTGTGTCGTGGAAGCAGTGCCCCACAAGCTCAATACACCCTAGTAAGGCCTCCCTGATGCAGGATGGGGCCAAACCTGAGCCCTCTGGCATACCCCACCTGCAGGAAGGGGATGGCTTTCACTGTCCTTGGTCTCTTGCCAGATGCCATGATATGGAGAAGTCACCCCTCTCCCAGACTCCTTGGCTACCTGGGGAGGCCCTTGAGATTAAATGAGTGAACAGAAATGGGTGTTTCTAGATTTTTGAATGACATTGTCACCATTATATATAATGGAGCTCAGTGGAATGTTGCTGCTTTCCACCCTTTAACCAGGATGTTCCTGATCAAACACAGGACATGAGGGGTCAGCATAAGTGACCAAACTTCAGGCGGTCATCCTAGCACTGGATGCCCTGGCCAGCAAGTGGCTCCGTCTGTACATTTTTACAAACTCATTGGCCCATTTTCCTTTGGGGTAATGACCTCCGGGAATCTCTTGCCTCACAGATACCCAAAATATAAATCAGTAACAGACATCTCTACATTGATCTAAGGCCACAACACAAGGCCTCACCAGGACACACCTTACTGACCAGATATTACTGATAGTGACCAAGGCACTTCTCAGAATACATTTTGCTGAGCTTTTGAAAAGGCATTCAGTGGAACTTCCATCTCCATTATAGGACCTAGGCAACTGGTTTAATTGGGAGGTATTATGGGCTCTTCAAAGACCTCTGACTGTAGCTACAAAGTAGCAAATGGACCCCCTGCTGAGTGTCACTATTGCCACAAGCTTTGGTTAGATTAAATTTATGCCCCCTGGTTACACGTATTCCTTACATCAATGCCATACAGGTTTCTTGATTGTCTTGATTGGCTGTAAAGGAGGATACCTCTAAAGTTCATGTTTTTGATGACTACTTCACCATATGACCCTTTCCCTCCTGGTCAAGGGCCTACTTCGCTTCCTAGGGAGGCACTTCTAGTCCCTATAAGTCTTAGTCATCACCAAGGTTTAAATTGATGTCAATTTAACCTCCTTTAAGTGCTTATTTACATCTTGTCTGCCATGCCAGACCTCTATACTCTGTGCTTTGAGTGAAGCCTGGCACCTAATTGGCCCATAATAACATAATATCTGTTAGATGGATGGATGGTGTTTTCCAGGACTCTTTCTTCTCCTTCTATGCATCCTTAAAAATTCTCTCATGTATCTTCTGTTCTCCCTTAAAGTGATTCTCAATGCCGTACAGATTCACGAGACTTGAACCTTGTGACTCTCAAGTTATATCACTATCTCATTGGTCCCATTTGCTCTAGAGCCTCCTATAGTAAATCCCTCTTGGATTGTGATCCTTACTTTCTCAATATAGCAAAAGCTAAAATGTAAAATTATATATCACAGGTCTTATATTCTCACTTCCCATTCATTTATTATTTTCTTTATTCACTTGGTCTACTATAACTGACAAAAATGAGATCCCTTTAAGTCCTCCAGCTCTATCATACTCTTAACGTTCTCTTGCAGTTCCTGTTTCACCTTTTTAAATTGTCTTCTAAATATCCTCATATTCTTACTTTCCACTGATATCACCCACCAAGCAGATCCATATACTTATGTTCATGCTTTGATGAATTAGACTTTTTTAAATTTAAAAAATTTAGCTTGGTAAATTTACCTTGTTACTAGCCTGATGTTACTAGCCCTTGTAGCTAGGCTTATCTTAAGCCTATGATTGCCTCCTATTATCTAACACCTGAAATGTAAATTCTTCTTTAATGAGCATCAAATATTACCATGTATTACCTAATTTTTCTCTCTTGCCCAAAATTCTGGCTCAACTCCATTTGATAAAGTCTCCTAGATGTCTCTCTTTTTTTTTTTTTTTTGTGAGGAAGATCAGCCCTGAGCTAACACCGATGCTAATCCTCCTCTTTTTGCTGAGGAAGACCGGCTCTCAGCTAACATCTATTGCCAATCCTCCTCCTTTTTTTCCCCCAAAGCCCCAGTAGATAGTTGTATGTCATAGTTGCACATTTTTCTAGTTGCTGTACATGGGACGCGACCTCAGCATGGCCAGAGAAGCGGTACGTCGGTGCGCACCCAGGATCCAAACCCGGGCCGCCAGCAGCGGAGCGCGCGTACCTAACCACCAAGCCACGGGGCCGGCCCGAAGGTCACATTTCTAAAGTGCCAAATTACTGTGTTTTTATTGGAAGATTACTCTTCTCTTTTCCACTACTGCAAGTTATTTGTTTTGTCCAATCCTATGGGAGCGAGATAAGTATGCCCTTGGGATTACTTTCAGACCAGAAGACTGGGCTATGCTAGGGCATTTTTACATTACATCCCATTTCCAGATGAAATGTGTTAATATTTATAAAGTATGATAAATCATTCTCATTTCTAGAATTCTGGGAGGTTGATGACCTGATGGAGAAGAGCCTGGAAAACCAAGACCAGCATTTGTGGAAAGTTGATTTTGTCAACAATAAAACACTGACTAAGGAGAGAAATGGTGTATTAGGAAAAATATTTAATGTGGACACAAACCCTGTTCCAGTGAGAAAAGTACCTGATAAATATGAATCACATGTAATGAATTTGAATTATATTTCAGAATTAATTATTAGTAATAGAAACTCCTTTGTAAGGAAGTTTGATAAATTTAATGCATATAGGAAATTGCTTCTCTGTACAAAGTATGAGAATTCTCATGCCAGAGATAAACCTTTTAAATATGATAGAAATGGGAAAGCCATCAGTCAAAGTGAAGACCTATTTCAACATCAGGATATTCAAACTCAGAAGCAATATTTTTAATATAATGAATGTGGGAAAGCCTTCTGTGAGGAGGAAGCCTTCATTACCCATAAGAGAGCATGCTCATGGGAGAAGCCCTGTGGATATAATGAACATATGAAAACCTTTTCTGATGTTTCAAACCTTCTTGTCCTTCAGAGAACTCTCACAAGGGAGAACCACTGTGACTTTAATAACTGTGGGAGGAGGTCTGTTGGTGAGAGGTCAACTCTAAGTAAACACCATAGAGTTGTCATGGGGAAGAAATACTATGAGTGTGGGAATAATTTTGGCAACAAGTCACTCTCCACTAACATTGAGAGAACTCACAATGGAGAAACAACCTTTGAATGTAATGAGGGAGGGGGAATATTCAAGAAACCAAATCTCTCTCAACATGAGCAAACATACACAGAAAAGAAAACTTTTGAAAATAGTATGGGAGATCCTTTTGGCATATGTCAGTTCTTCCTAAACATCAGCAAACATGCATAGGAGAAAAACTCTATGAATGTAGTGAGTGTGGAAAAACGCTCAGCCACAAGTCATGTCTCATAATGCATAATAGGATACACAGAGGGGAGAAACTTTATGAATGTACTGATTGTGGGAAAACTTTCACAAATAGGTCACGCCTCACAGTTCATCAGAGGTTACACACAGGGCAGAAACCCTATGAATGCATTGACTGTAGAAAAGCCTTTAGATATAGGTCAGGCCTCACAGTACATCAGAGAACACACACAGGGGAGAAACCCTATGAATGTAATGAATGTGGAAAAAAATTCTGTGAGAAGTCAAGTCTTCATGTACATCAGAGAACACACACAGGGGAGAAACCCTATGAGTGTAATGAATGTGGAAAAACTTTTCTCTACAATTCATTCCTGGTGGTACATCAAAGGATACACACAGGTGTAAGACCCTATGAATGTAATGAATGTGGGAAAACCTTCTCCCAAAAGCCAGATTTTGTTAATCATCGGAGAACTCATACTGGGGAGAAACCCTATGAATGTAATGAATGTGGGAAATCCTTCTCTGTAAAGTCAAAACTTAGTGTTCATCGGAGAGCTCACACAGGGGAAAAACCAAATGAATGTAGTGAATGTGGAAAAACCTTCTTCCAGAAGTCATCTCTCATAGTACATCAGAGAATACACACAGGGGAGAAACCTTATAAATGTAATGAATATGGAAAAACTTTTTCCCAGAAGTCATCCCTGACACTACATCAGAAAACACACAAAGAGGAGAAACCATTTGAGTGTATTCAATGTAGGAAAACATTTTATCAGAAATGTTTAACTCTCAGTAAACATCAGAGAACTCACACAGGAGAGAAACTTCATAAATGTAACGAATGTGGTAAGACTTTTTGTCACAAGTCATCCCTCGCAGTACACCAGAGAACTCACACAGGGGAGAAACCCTACAAATGTAATAAATGTGGGAAAACCTTCTACCAGAGGTCATCTCTCACAGCACATCAGAAAACACACACAAAGCAGAAATCCTGTGAATCTACAGATGTGGGAAAGCCTTTTACTAGAATTCAGAGTTCACTAATCAAAGAAATTACACAGAGAAGAAATTCTTGTCAGTATCCTGAAAGTCCAGAAGCCTTTTCTTACTTGACTTACTCAGTATACATCAGAAGTAGTGAAGAGGAGAAACTTAATAAATATGGAAAATCTTTTACTCAGAAATAAAGTGACATCTCATTGAGCAGCAGATGTTTGATAATTTGGAACATCTTATGAATATTTTGAATAAGTTGCAGCTTTCAAAATCATTCATTCTTGATCATGTATCAGAGGTTTTCATTGACTGGAAATATACCAATTTGGAAATTGAGAATAAAAAACTTCCTGTAGCAATATTATATGAAAACTCTTGTTTCTGATGTGATACTAAAATTGCTATTGAAAATATTCAGTTATAGACCTGTTCACTGTGCAGTAGGAATCTAACTTTGAAAAAGCACAATTAATTTGAATAATCATAAGTACTACATTAAACACAAATGTGAAGAGTTACTGAATTATGCTTTATAAGAGAAATATTGCATGTGTTGGTTTGCTTACTGGAACCTATCATAATCCTAGGTAAAATATACTCTTAGCTTAGTAATTATTATAATGTGTTTAAAGTTTTCTATACTTAATATTTTTCTTTTTCAGCCATAAGAACAAAATATACATTTTAAATAAAATATCTGTGGAATGTAAACTGATGTACTCATATCTTTCTTGCTATGCTTTTAGCATATATAAATAAGTATGGGCATTGTTATTAAACTAACTTCCCAATAAAGAATCCAAACAGTGTGTTTGTAAATTTTTCATCTAATTCAGAATCAGCTAAGCAGAATAATAAACTGTGCAACAGTTAAGTGCAAAATTACTTAAAGGACTTTCACTCCCATGCATGAACATCTGCGGGACTTGCTGTCTCACTGTAAACAACTGGAAAATTGGGCAAGATACATGAAGTAACCAGAAGACTGGAAAACATGAAACAGCTGTTCTAAGCTTCTGGACATTAGGGATTGCACGACCATGATTCCTGAGAGAAAGGAAGCACATATTATCATCCCTGCACTTGCTCCAACGTACTGTCAGGAGGAAATTCCCAGACCAAGCATAGCAAAGGTAGGGATAACTCCAAACATACTTTTACTCAATAAAGGCGAGATATTTCAGAATTCAGCTGGCCCTGGTGGTCTAGTGGTTAAGATTTAGTGCTCTCACCGCCACGGCCCAGGTTCATTTCCTGGGCAGGGAGTCATACCACCCGTCTGTTGCTTGTCACATATGGTGGCTGCATGTTGCTGTGATGCTGAAAGCTATGCCACTGGTATTTCAAATACCAGCAGGGTCACCCATGGTGGACAGGATTCAGCAGAGCTTGTAGACTGGACAGACTAGGAAGAAAGACCTGGCCACCCACTTCCTCAGAAATTTGGCCATGAAAAGCCTATGAATAGGAGCGGAGCATTTTCTGACAGTCCCAGAAGGTGAGCGGATGGTGCAAAAAGGCCGAGCAGGGTTCCACTCTGCTGTACACAGGTTCACCAGGAGTCAGAATTGACTCCATGGCACTAACAACAAAATTTCAGAGTTCAGTGAGCTTAAGGCAGCTTACTGTGTGGAATAGAATGCTGGAGAGGGGGCTAGCAGAGAAAGAGCTTGAGTAATCTGAGTACTAGCTGCACATGCAGAGGGTGAGGCTCTTTGACACTTGGCAAAAACCAGCTGTCGACAATGGAACAATTATTGGGGAACTCTAAGACAATTCCCAGAGCTCAATACAGAGGTGGGAATTATTCAAGTTCCCATTAGCTAAGACCCCTCTTGCTTCAGATCCTAAGATCACAGTCTGTTTCCCTTTTGGTATGGTTTTTGAGGACCCCATGGACATATTGGCAGTGGATAAGAGTTGAGGATGTTTGTGGTGCTGTATTAGTCTTCTTGGGCTGCTATAACAAAGCAGCACAACCTGGGTGGCATAAACAAAGACATTTATTTTCTTAGAGTTCTGGAGCCTAGAAATCCATGATGAAGGTGCTGGCAAGTTCCATTTCTGGTGAGGGCTCTCTATCCTCATATGACCTTTCCTTGGTGTGTGCACGTGGGGGAGAGAGAGAGAGTGAGCCCTTTGCTGTCTCTCGCTCTCTCTTTTTTTTTTTTTGGTGAGGAAGGTTGGCCCTCAGCTAACATCTGCTGCCAGGCTTCCTCTTTTTTTTTTTTTTTTTTGGGGGGCAGCTAACATCTGCTGCCAGGCTTCCTCTTTTTTTTTTTTTTTTTTGCTTGAGGAAGATTGTCCCTGAGCTAACATCTGTGCCAGTCTTCCTCTATTTTATATGTGGGTCACCGCCACAGCATGGCCTGAAAGCGGTGTGTAGATCCACATCTGGGATCCGAACCTGTGAACCCTGGGCCACCGAAGGGGAGCCCGCAAACTTAACGACATGCCACCAGGCCGGCCCCTCTGCTGTCTCTTCTTATGAGGACACTTTTCCTATCAGACCAGGGCCCCACCCTTATGACCTCATTTAACCTTAATTATTTTCTTAGAGGCCCTGTCTCCAAATACAGCCACACTCAGGGGTCAGGGCTTCCACATATGAATTTGAGAGGATCTACAGACATTCAGTTCATAAAATTCTGCTCCTGGCTCCTCAAAATTCATGTCTTTCTTGTATTCAGAACATGTTCATTTCATACCAGTACCCCCAAAAGTCTTAACTCATTCCCCCATCAACTCTAAACTCTGAAGTCCAAATTAGATGACTTTTAGATATCATCTAAATCATGTACACTGAGACTCAAGGTACAGTTTATTTTGAGGCAAAATTCCTCTCCAGCTGTGAACCTGTGAAACCTGACAAGTTCTCTGCTTCCAAAATACAATGGTGGGACAGGCATGGGATAGATATTCCCATTCCAAAAGGAAAAAGCAGAAAGAAGAAAGGGGTGATGGGTCCCAAGCAGCTCTAAAACCTATTGAGGCAAATTCTGTAAACTCTAAGGCTCGAGAATAATCCTTATTGGCTTGATTGGCCTTCTGGACCCATTTGGGGCAGCAGACCTGCCCCCATGGCCCTAGGTGGCAGTCTCACCTCTGTAGCTGTGCTTGATGGTCCTCTTCCCGGGGCTCTGGGCATCGGCAGCCTGTCCTGTGGAAATTGAAGAGACAGCCCTGATGATCTGTGAATTGCCTTCTGGGTCATTCTTCCCTTTTGTTGAATAATAGCTCTATTGTCCTGTCCTGTAGAATCCAAGAAGTCTGACAGACTTCCTTCATTTCATCCCATTTCCATCCCCTTCAGTTCAAACTGACAGTGTTTCTGCTCATCAGTTAAGTGGAATAATCTCTTTATGGAGTGATAGTCCGGCCACACCCTTGGTGTTCTCTTCAGAACACGTTTTCTCATTTTTTGCAGTATAGACACTCAGAATTCTCCAAATGTTTAAGCTCTGGTTCCTTTTTGCTTAACAATTACTTCTTCAATTCATCTTTTTCCTCGCACATTTTACTGTAAGCAGTTAGGAGGACCAGGCTGCATCTTCAACATTTTGGTTAGAAATCTCCTTGGCTAAAGATCCAGTTTCATCTCTTGCAAATTCTACGTTCCACAAAACACTAGAACACAGTTTAGCCAAGTTCTTTCCCACTTTATAACAAGAATCTCCTTCCTCCAGTTTCCAATAACTTGTTCTTTTCTGTCTGAGACCTGACTAGAATGGCGTTTAATGTCCCTATTTCTACTAGCATTCTGTTCATGATGATATATGTATTCTCTAAGATAATAGAGGCTTTCTCCTATAGCTTTCCTCTTTTCTTTCTGAGTCCTTGCCAGAATTGCCTTTAATGTCCGTATTTCTACCAGTGGTCCCTTCAAGGCAATTTAGGCTTTTTGCTAGCATGCACCTCAAAACTCTTCTGGCCTCTGCCCATCACTCAGTTCAAAAGCCGCATCCACATTTTTAGGTATTTGTTATAGCAGCACCCCACTTCGTAGTACCAAAATCTATATTAGCTTGCTTGGGCTGCGATAACAAAATACCACAGAATGGGTGGCTTAAACTACAGAAATTTATTTTCTCACAGTGGTGAAGCCTACATGTCCCAGATTGAGATGCCGAAAGATATGGTTTTTAGTGTGGACTGTTTCTGGCTTGCAGGTGGCCACCTTCTCACTGTGTCCTCACATGGCTTTCCTTGGTGTGTGCTTGCTGGGAGGTTGGGGTGTAGGGATAGAGGAAAGGAGAGAGAGAGAGAGAGAGATTGAGGGAGAGAGAGATGGAGAGAGATCTCTGTTGTCTTTTCTTGTAGGGGTACTAATCCTGTCAGATCAGGGCCCCACCTTGATGACCTCATTTAACCTTAATTACTTCCTTAGAGGCCCCATCTCCAAATATAGCCATACTGTGAGTAGGGCTTCAATATTCATATGTTGAATAATTTGAGGGGAACACAAACATTTGGTCCATAACAGTTGCCTGAAATCAGCCTTCCTGGCTCTGGAATGTCCAATTACTTCCCTCCTAACCCCCCTCCCCTCCATTGGAGCCACCATCTCCTCATCTGTAAATGGGTAGAATTATACATATCTGGAGGAGAGGAACTAATCCCTGAACAAAGCTGCATTAATACACTGTCTAAGAAGGTATCCTTCTGCCTACTACCCAGGGAGTACAAGAGAGGGGATGCAGACCTCATGGCTGCACAGTTCCAACTTAGTGCCTGGATATAGTCATGCTCTACAGTCTCAGAGGACCTTAGGCAACTCACTTCACATTTCGGTGCTTCCATCCCTCTCTCTATGGTGGTAAGTACTTATGTGCCTTTCTTGAATACCTTCTATGCACCAGATCTGTGCTAGGAATGCTCAAATTCACATTTTACTGAGCTGTTCATGGTAAATACTGGTGTCTCTATGATAAAGATGAATAGAATGAGGATCAGAGATAGGAACTGACTTTTACAGTGGTCCACAGGAAGAAAGGTTAGGTTCACCTACCCATCTAAAATAGGAATATAAAAATATATAGAGTTGTACGTGGGATATCTGATTGCATCTTTTAAAAATTAATTTTCATTTCAAAGTACTATATAACACTTTTTCTAAATAAATTAACAAGTAAAGGTAAGGTCTCCCATAATGCAGTGACTCCAATACTCCTTGCCACTGGGGGAACCAGTT